AGCAGCATTGCTGCCTTGCAAAACCACATGCAACATAAATGTTAAAACAGCTGAACAAACATGCTAATAAGCAACCAAAGATTTAAAACAGGACCACAAAAAGATGAACAAAAAGTGAAGAAGGAATAAAGAAGGCTAGAAATAAAGAGGGCTAGAGGAATAAATAAGTCCCCATGTAAAAGCCAGAAGATAAGTGTGAAGGGCGGTTCTCAGGGAACGGAATTCCACAACTGTGGAACCATTCCTTAAAAGGCCCTGTCCCCCCAGCCTGATTGGCCTCAGTGGTGGGCCAGAGAACAGATTTCCCAGGGGCCTATACAGGTTTACAGGGTTGTAGGTAGTCCCAATCCATGTGGCACTTTAAGTCTCGGTACCAACACTTTAAATTGAGCCCAGACAAGAACGGGTAACCAGTTCAACTGACACAAAGCCAGTGTGGTATGTATCAAAGCACCTACCTCACCCCACTGCATTCAGGAAGCTGAATGTTGCAGCAGCTGAAATTTCTGGTCTGCCTTTAAGGGCAACCTGATATAGGCAGACACCAGTGCTGTCTATTATTGACAGAATCATGGATGTGTAGCGTTGGAAGGATCATCTAGTCCGACCCCCTTGCAATGTAAGAATCGCAGCTCAAGAATCCTTGACAGATGACTATCTGACCTCTACTTTAAAACCTCCAGTGAAGAAGAGCCCACCACCTTCCAAGGGGGTCTGTTCCACAGTCAAACAGCTCTTACCAACAGAAAGTTCTTCCTAATACTTCATTGGAAGCTCCTTGTCATTTGAATCCATTGGTTTGCATCCTCCCCTTCAGAGCAGGAGAGAACAAGCTCGCTCCATCTTCCATGCGACAGCCCTTTAGATATTTGAAGATGGCTATCCTATCACCTGCCTGGTGTGCTCTGGTCCATGGGGTCACGAAGAGTTGGACACGACTAAACAACTAAACAACAACAACATCCTATCACCTCTCAGTCTCCTCCTTTCCAGGCTAAACATACCCTAAAGGTAAAGATAAAGGTACCCCTTACTGTTAGGTCCAGTCATGGACAACTCTGGGGATGCGCGCTCATCTCGCTCTAAAGGCCGAGGGAGCCGGCGTACAGCTTCCGGGTCATGTGGCCAGCAGGACTAAGCCGCTTCTGGTGAACCAGAGCAGCGCATGGAAACGCCGTTTACCTTCCCACCGGAGCGGTACCTATTTATCAACTTGCACTTTGACGTGTTTTTTAACTGCTAGGTTGGCAGGAGCAGGGACTGAGCAATGGGAGCTCACCCCGTCGCAGAGATTCAAACCGCCGACCTTCTGATCGGCAAGCCCTAGGCTCAGTGGGTTAGACCACAGCGCCACCCGCGTCCCACATACCCTAAACATGATAGTAAATGAGTGCAGGTCTGCTTTCTCCTTTTTGGGCTGCAGTTGGGGAAGCTGTCACAGCTGCTAAATTCATCCCTACCTCCGAATGATGTTAATCACAGGTGGACTCCCCAAACAGTGGATCTGATGTGTTAGGTTGCAAATCTAGGTTAGAGCTCTGGCCAAACAACAGGTCTTCACCCTGATCCATTTTAGAACTCCTTCAGGGTGCCTCTTTAAGACTTCCACTGGCTCCCTGAGTAGCAGAAGACGAGAGGAAGACCTGTGTGTACTAGTGACAACTCAGCCCAAGGATCCAGGTGACCTCTCTCAGCAGTTTCATGCAGACATTGAAAATAATGGGAGGCCAATGGAACTCCGAGGCAACTGCTAAACAAATTGGTTATCTATACATCAAAATTCAGGTGGTTGGACTAGATGGCCCTTGGTGTTCTCTTCCAACCCTACAGTTCTATGAAACCTTTGGCTGCAGGTGCCTGGTGTAATTCCAATGAAGACCTTGTTTGGGTTGGTGTTGGCACCAGTCCGATTCAGGGGTCTCTGAAGAACAGATCTCAATTTCCAGGATATATAACATTCCCTGCATTTTTAAAGGTAGGGGGAGGTTTAGGTGTGTGGATTATTTGTTAAATGATCCCGATTTTCTTCAAGTGGTTGGGAAGGTGGTGGACTTAACTTTATTGGAGCTTTTAAGCAGAGGTTGGTTCTCCATCCACCAGGGATTCTTTAGCCACAATTCCTGCATTGCAGGGGATAGAACTAGATGACTATTTGGGTCCCTTCCAACACCACAATTATATGATTCTATTCTTCTGCAGTATTCTTCCTTTCCACCTACAACTATTTCCCTCAGTGCAGCACTGTGTTGTCAAAGCCTTTCCACTTTGATTATGCGACATCCTTAGCCTGGAACCAGGCAGAAAGGCCTCCCCAAAAGGCCTAAGCCTGAGCTCCTTCTGATTAGAAATCTAAGTACTGGTGGCCAGCAAGAAACAGAACTAGCCAAGCTGTCGGGACAAGCCAGCAATTGGCAGTGGATGAATGATGACAATCTCCATCAGAGATGCCTTCAAAGAGTGTAGAGAGACCATCTTAAACTGATTTTCTCGTTGAAGAAACCAGCAGTGTCCCGCTCAGAGATGCAAGAGAATGCAAGAAGAGGAATCATGTGGCAAGCAGGCGGCTGGAATTTCAGGCGTATGACTCAACAGGTGTTGACGTGGAGTTTCTTGGCTTCGGAGAAGGACAGAGCTGCAATCCCTCAAATGTGGGAGTTGGCAAGCCCAGCTGTGGCAGGTGCCAAATTGCATTTTAATTAGGTGCTGAAAGTCGGCTGAGTAATTGTAATATTTATGAAACCTTCTTCCCTCGAGTTTAATTTTTTTTGCTTGAAAACCCTGTACCGAATTTGACTCTGGGATTATGTTGGAGGTGAATCCTCTCATTCTCCTACCACGTGCATGGATGTGCATTTGAATGAGTGATCAGATTTTTTGATATCTGGATCACGACAGTCTGAGTGCTCTTCTGAGGCTACATTACTATCAAAGAAAAAAGAGAGGGAAAAGGAAAATTCCATACTAGGGATTAGGAAAGGGATTGAAAATAAAGTATCATAAAGCCGTTATACAAACATATGGTGTGACTGTGTTTGGAATTCTGTGGAAAGTTCTGGTCATCTCAAAAAGCACATTACAGTACAGCAGCACCTCGGCTTACGTTACCCTTGGTTTGCGAAAGCGGCAAACCTGAAAGTGTTTCGCCGCGCACATGCGCAGAAGCCGTCAGTCCTGTTGCGGAAACCTCGGGATCCGACCAGAACAGATCCTGTCAGCAACCAGAGGTACCACTGTACAGGGTTGGAAATAATTCAAAAAAGGGCAGCTACAATGATCCAGAGGGTGGAATGGCTCCCCTATGAAGAAAGGCTGCAGCTTTTGGGACTTTTTAGTTCGGAGAAAATAAGGGACGCGGGTGGCGCTGTGGGTTAAACCACAGAGCCTAGGACTTGCTGATCAAAAGGTCGGTGGTTCGAATCCCAGCAACGGGGTGAGCTCCCGTTGCTCAGTCCCTGCTCCTGCCAAGCTAGCAGTTCGAAAGCACATCAAAGTGCAAGTAGATAAATAGGTACAGCTCCGGCAGGAAGGTAAACAGCGTTTCCGTGTGCTGCTCTGGTTCACCAGAAGCGGCTTAGTCATGCTGGCCACATGACCAGGAAGCTGTCTGTGGACAAACGTTGGCTCCCTTGGCCAATAAAGCGAGATGAGCGCCGCATTAGGTCACGACTGGACCTAATGGTCAGGGGTCCCTTTACCCTTTACCTAGTTCAGAGAAAAAGCAAGTACAGTAATAGATGATACGATAGAAGTGTGGAAATTTATGCATGGCACAGAGAAGGTAGAGACAGAAAAGCCCCCCCCCCTCCAATCTCATAACAGAAGAACCTATGGGCATCCCGTGAAGTTGTATGTTGGGAGATTCAGGGCACAAAAAAGGAAGTCCTTCTTGATGCAGTGCAAAGTTAACCTATCGAACTCCCTACCACAGGAGGCAATGATGGCCACCAACTTAGATGACTTTAACAGAGGATGAGACAAGTTTGTGGAAGAGAAGAAGGCCATCAATGGCTGCTCCCCACAATTGCTATTGTTACAAAAGTTGGGTGCCTCCCCTTGCCTCTCTGCCAAGTGGCGGCAAAAGCCTGTGATGTTCCAGGCACCCACCCAGGGTCTTTGGATAATTGAGGAAACAGTGAAGACTGTCGTCAGTGTAAGATATATGTTTTATTCACCTATTTACACCTTCAGTCTGCAGGGAGGGAGTCCAGATCTTACAGCATGGTCATTGCAGAAGGGGCTTGTCCCCCACAGCAGTGAAGCTATGGAGCCCAAGGCATCTATCCCAGTCAGTTCTGCAGTCAGGCTGCCCAAAGATGGATCTCAGTCTCTCTTCCTTCTTCTTTTCCCCAGAAACCCTTGCTTCCAGACTCCCTTTTCAAAGACACAGTTACCCTGGCAACCTTCCAAATCCCTGTCTCTGTTCACACCTCAGGGCAGGGGGTAAGGACAATACTCTAGCATTGCCAATGGCCCTCAAAGGCCCTCTATTGTTTCTTAATGGCCCTAGCTTGGCCAAGTCATTTTGCGTAGGTTAGCCCAGGAATTCATTTGCAGTTTGCATTTCTTCCTCCACATCCCAAATCATCAAAATCCTACCATTTATTATTTTAAACCCAAATCTATAACGCTATGCTTTGCCTACATGGTCAGATGCAACAATGCTCTGAATCCCAATTGCTGGAAACTGCACGAGGAGGTGAAAGTGCTCACGTGCTGGAATTGTGCTTGCTGGTTTCCCATAAAGGGCACTGGGAGGACAAGGATGCTGGGCTAGCCGGTCCCCTTTGGCCTGATGCAGCAGGCTCTACTTATGTTCCTAAGCCGGAAAAACGGGAGAGGCTGCACCTCCGCTCTTATTCTGCCCGAGGAGATGATTCTATTCTGCTCTCCCATTGTTGGAAGAGTTCGTCTCTGTCTCACTCCTGAAGAGGGCATCGGATCAGAGGAGTCGACTTTCCCCTTAACGTAAAGGAGGAGGGGATGAGCCCCAAGGAGGCGCTGCCGTCCCTCAAAAGGCGCCTGGGTTCACCCCAGCATCGCAACTTCCCCGCACGCCTAGCAGCAAGAGGTGCGGGAGCGAAGGGGGTCGCGGGCAGACTCCGGTTCGGGGGCGGTCTGGCGGCAGCCCTCCAACCGCTGAGGGGGCGGCCCTTGCGGCTGAGCAGCCGCCTCGTAAGGAGGTTTCACTAGGGCTCAGTACGCGAAGGCAGCTGCAGGCAAGGGCTGGAGGAGTCCTCTCGTCTGGAAAGCCGGAGCGCCGCTGCTGCCAGCCAGTGTAGGCAGCAGTAGGCAGGGTCATCTGGCTGCAGCGCCCCCAGCAGACTGCCCGCTCAGAAGGCTCCGGAGAAAGGGAGCCCAGCGGGAGCTGCGACCCCTGGGCCCCTCGGGCCCCCCTCCGGCGCAGAGGAGGCTCCACCCCCCGGCTCCGCCCCCGCCCCCGCCTCCGGAGCCCGGACGCCCCGAGCGGCCGTCGAGGGAGGCGGAGACAGCCGCGCTCAGCCCCGGCCGGCCGCTCAGCCAGGCACCCAGCCACGGAGGAGCAGGAGGGCCGCAGCCGGGATGGGCAGGCCGCAGTAGCGCCCCCAGGGGCCGGCGCCATGGGCTCAGAGCCGCAAGCCGGAGGAGGAGGAGGCCGAGGTGGCGGCGGGAGCGGCTGCGGCTCCTGCGGCGGGGCCCGGAGGGGCGTGGGGCGGGCGCTGTCGGGCTTCTTCGCGCTCTCGCTGGCGCTGCACCTCCTCACGCTCGGCTGCTATCTTGAGCTGCGCTCCGAGCTGCGCCGCCGGGAGGCGGAGGCCGCCTGGCCGCCAAGGCAGAGCAGCGTCGCGCGGACCGCAGACGACGAGGACGGGGGGGCGGCGGGCGAAGTCTCTGGTCCCGGCCGGCCCAAGCACCGCTTCGCCCAAGAGTCCGGCAGGCAGCGGCAGCAGCAGCAGCAGGTGGGTCCGGCGGTTGGTCGGTGGGGCGCAGGTGGCGCTGGAGGGGCTGCATGGGGGCCCTGCGGCGCGCTCTCGCTCGCTGCAAAGGGGCTGCCAAACTCCAGCTCCCAGCGTCCCTGGTCCCTGGCCGCCACGGCGGGGTCTGACGGGAGTTGGAGTCCGAGGGCGGGAGGGTCGCAGGTCCAGAGCTGAAGAGGGATGGGGACGCGGGAGGCCGCTGTTGGCCTCAACAACCCTCGGGGAAATCGTGGTTTGGCAGCCCGCCTTGTGGCGGCGGCGATGGCGGGGCGGCGGCTTCCTAGAGCAGGCAGTAACTTTTGTGGAGTTTCAGGGAGCCCCGCAGGATCATCTATGATTCACATGGGTGACACTGCAGGACTCACAACTAAAAGATCCCTTACAGACGCTGTCCGATCTCTGTTTAAAAGCCTCCAGTGAAGGAGACGATGCCACCTTCTCCCGAGGAGAGCGCTCGTTTACTGAGTTTAGCTCATAAGCAAGTGAGTGTCTGTGATTCATTGCATGGAGATTACAAGAAAGGAAATTCCGACTAAACACTACTTTCTGACAAAGGAGCCAACTCCTAGGGGCCAGGGTCAATTTGCTCCCCCCATAAAATATTTGAGGGGTCTAGCCCTCTGCCCCCAAGTTGTAGGGCATTGCCATTCAAATGATGTGATCGATTATTTGGGACGGGGCTTACCTGTCCCCCAGATTTTATTCAAATTGGCACCCCTGCCATCTGATGGTAAGAGCCATCAATAGTGGAACAGAGACTCCCTCTGAAGAAGTTGGCAGACTCTTTTGCTGGAGGTTTTTAAGCAGAAGTCAGATGGTCATAGGACATAGGTCATAGGTCATGGATGCTTCAGTTGAGATTCCTGCACTGTAGTGGATTGGACTAGATGACCCTTTTAGCCAACTCTACAATTCTAAGGTTCTACAAGTAATTGTGTCACCCATGTGAATGTGAACATTGTGGTGGTGGTGGTGGTGGTGAGGCATTCTATCCACACCATCCCCAATAATTATACCAATATAAGACGTTGCAATTTATGGTTTCCAGTTGCAAAACACCACCAACTTCCAGGCTGTTCTAATTAATTGTGTGCTTGGCAAAGACTGGCCATGAAATAGATGCCTGTTTTCAGCTTTTGAGGAGGATCCTGCTCTGTTTGCCCAAATGAACTAACTGGATCAGTTTCTTCTGTACTCAATGAACTTTTCATTGTTGTTCTTTAAAAATGCCTTAAGTCTGCCCAAATGTGAGCAGTAACTTTGGGTTCCTGGTAAAGACCAAATGAATAGTTATGGGCAGCTGCTGTTCTTTCAGGCTGTTGATCTGATTTCTTCTGATCTGATCTGGAGAAGTTGTTGCATTTCAAGACAAATAGCCCCATCTAACATTTATTTTTAAAAGGATTATTCTTTTTGTGCTGGAATCCTGCACAAATTTCCCATTGAGGTGTCTGTTTGGACACTGTGAAAACAGGATGCTGGACTGGATGGGTCCACTTCGGTCTCATCCAGGAGGGCTCTGCCTAATGCTTTTATGGAAACTTCAGGTTCAGAGACAGTCTACTTAGATCCCTGGGTTCTTATGGGCATTTTGCCACTGTGAGAACAGGATGCTGGACTAGATGGGCCACTGGCCTAATCAAACAGCCAGATTCTTCTAATGCTCTTATATAGTGGTACCTCGAGTTACGTACTTAATTTGTTCCAGAGGTCCGTTCTTAACCTGAAACTGTTCTTAACCTGAAGCACCACTTTAGCTAATGGGGCCTGCCGCTGCACCGCTGGAACACAATTTCTGTTCTCATCCTGAAGCAAAGTTCTTAACCCAAGGTAATATTTTTGGGTTAGCGGAGTCTGTAACCTGAAGCATATGTAACCTGAAGCATATGTAACCTGAGGTACCACTATATTATCTATCTAATCTCCCCCCCCCGCCCCCCCATTTAAAGCAACATGTTTTAGCCTAGATCTGAAGGGGCTCCTTTGTTTGTTGTAATAAACTGTAACTGTAGGTATGATTTGATACTTAAAAAGAGCTATCCGTCTTTTAAAAATGGGTGAACAAATTTACCACTATGGTCAGCAGAGTTGCATGCAGTCATTTGGCAGTATCTTCAACCTTTTCAAAACCAGGACCCACTTTTAATCCAAACATGCATTTCTGGACCTTCTTTTTACTCTATGTCGGCAAGGTGGTAGGGCTCCTGTTGCAAATTACCTTGCATCAGGCCACAAACTGCTAGTGTCTCCTAACCTCTCAGCTGAACAAAAGTTTTCAACCTTTTTGAGTTCATGGCTCCCTTGACCAACTGCATTCTTTGTGCGGCTCCCATGTGGGGCTCAGAAGCCCAGTTATGTCACCCTTTGCCTGCAGAGCTGACAGCCTCTCACCCTTTTTTGAACACCCTCCCTTGTGGAGTGTTCTCTTAGCCTCCTCTCCTCTCCCCTCTCCTTGGGAGTCCTCAGGGCAGCCACTGCTGCCGCCCCTTATCTCTGAGCTGCCCCCTGCCCCAAAGAGAGCTCACACGGTGTCCCCCAGGGGCCTGGTAAGAGGATGCCTCCAGCCTTAGCAGCCCAGCAGAGACTGGCCAAAGGTGAACATGAGGCCTACACCTCACCTTGGGTGCCACCGGGCCTGCATGGCAGAAGGTCTCCCCTTGGGTGCCGGGTGCCTGTAGAGCGGGCATCCCCATACCCTTTAAAACACCCTCCCTTGTGGAGCATTCCCTCAGCCTCCACTCCTCTCTCATTGGGCAGCAGCACCCCCAAAAAAGATGTGCATCCTCATGTCGCCCCGTAGGGGCCTGGAAAGAGGATGCCCCCATACTTAGTGGCTTGACAGAGACTGGCCAAAGGTGAACATTGAGACTTGCACCTTACTCACCTTGGGAGGCAACAGGGATCGCTGCCGGGCCTGCATGGTGGAAGGACTCCTCTTGAGCACTGGGCACTCAGCTCTGAGGCAGGCATTGCATACAGCCAGCACAAGAAAAGCCAGTGCGCTGCTTGCTTGCTTGCTTGCCTGCCTGCCCGGCCTCCCACTTGTCCGCCCATTCCCAACAGCCAGGGCTGACAGATTGGTTGGCTGGGCTCCCTCACCCACTTGCTTCTTACTCCGAGGCAGCCTCAGCTCCTGGCAGCCAGCACCCCCTGGCCAGCCCCAGAGGCCCCATTCACTTGTGGAGCTTATAGCCAGGGCTGCTGCAACAAACAGCCACACAAGTCTTTGGGAGGCAGAGGTGCAAGAGGGCATCAGAGGAGGAAGGGGAGGAAAGAGGGACAGAGGGCAGTGTTGCCCGCGGCACCCCTGACCATCATTCAAGGCACCCCAGGGTGCTATGACACACTGGTTGAAAACCACTGCTCTGGAATAACAAGAAGCTGTGGTTTTTTTAATGGCATGATTTATTTGTTGCATTTATATCCTGACTTTTTCTCCAAGGGGCTCAAGGTGGCAAACATGGTTCTCCCCATCTCATTTAATCTCCACAACAACTTTGTGAGGTAGGTTACGCTGAGAGAGTCAGTGACTGGCCCCCAAGGTTACTCCCATTGAGCTTCATGGTTGTGTGCGGATCTGAGCTCTGGTCTTTCCCAGGTTCTTGTCCAACACTCTAACGACCACGCCACCCTAGCTCTAACCCAGTGGTTCCCAACTTTTTTTGACCATGCCCCACTAAAATCCTGGTGTCTCCCACCTGTGACATATAATTCTTATTATTGAAAAAATGAACTCCTATTCGTGTGGAGGTAGCCTAAAAGGTCATTCACTGTTAATTACTCATTCTCAAATTGCTCCCCTTAAAAATCAAATTGCCCCACTGTGGGGTGTTTGGGGACCACAGCTCTTTCCCCTTGTTCATAATTTGACATAAGCACAGCAATTCGTATAGAAGCTGAAATGACAAGGAGTCTCATGGTAAGGCTGACCGGCCCTTGACAAATTGTCCTGGTCCTGCACTGATCCATGAAACAAGTCTGCATTCTGCATATCACTCTGCAGGTAGACAATGGATATATAAGCACTGCTTTATTTTGGAAACTGAAGCTCCCTGTGTCTGTGTTCTCCTGGCTTCCACTCATAATCCATTATCTTATTTATTTATTTGCATTTACATTCCACCTTTTTTCTCTAAGGAGCTCAAGGTAGTGAGCATTATTCTCCCCTCCCCATCCAATCCTCAAAACAAACCTGTGAGGTAGGTTAGGCTCAACTATGAAGCCTACTAGGTGAGCTTGGGGGTAGCCACTGCCTCTCAGCCTAACCTACCTCACAACCAGTGTTTGAAATTTGCCAGGCACATTTTGCACCTGGCTTTCAACCATTTGCGACCACGTGAAGTTGCCTGGGTGCCAGGATGGCGCCTGACATCTTCACCCTCTGGGAATCATTGGATCTTGACTGTTTTCACACACTAATACCCCATCCTGTAGAACGCTTATCAGTTATATTTCATCTGCACAATCAGAATGAATTTCTGGAACCAAATTGCTTTTTCTGTGCAGCCTGAACAGGAGCAGTCACTATTAAGTAAAAAGAGTCCGGAATAGGCCAAAGTATATGTGGACTATCCCTGGTTCAAGAGACTTTTCTTGTTTAAGTTCTCAAAGCTTTTCACCTAGCTATTCTGAACCAGCCAGATATTTAACTGAGAATCAATCACAGTTATTATTCGAAAAATAAGACCTTAGAGCTGTCATGCCTACAAATGGCAACTAGACATTCCGTTTTGGCAACTGCAACCTTGGTTTAACAAGACATTTGGCACCTTACTTCTCTATATGAGTTTCTCACCTGTCACAGCATGGTTGTTGTGGGGATCAAATGAGGAGATGAAATGAAATGAAGAGAGAACCCTGGATGCCACCTTGGGCTCTTTGGAGAGGAAAGGATGGAATAGAAATGCAAATAAATAAACAAATAAACGCCAAGCACATTTCAAGCTAATAAGAGCTTGTGGGTTTATCATGCAGGGATATAA